ACATACACACATACACACATACCCACATACATATATTCATTTACATTTATGCATATATACACACACATAATTGTATGTGTGTGTATGTATATGTATATATGTATACACATGCCTAGTAGAGCTTGGGCCGGAGACCTTCGAAGCCCAACCAGCCTTGCGGCTTAGCCAACATACCAAAACCTCACCAGCCCGAAAAGAAACAAGTTCTACAGCTTTGGCGCCGATACGCTCGTGCTATGTCACGCTTTTGACCGCGGAACCCGATGCTGCTATCCTGTTTGGGTGCAACCTTGGCAACCATGGAAGACTTGGGGCCGCGCCCAGGACTTCTGGCCATCGTCGGGTTCCGGTGCCTTGGAGGAGGGGAGACATCCTCTCCCACGCCGTGATCAGTTCTGGGTTGGAGCCTTTGGTCCACGAGACCTTCATTAGGGAAGCGGGTTCAAGAAAAGATGTGAAGATGGTACACAAAGATTTGTGGCACAGCAGCACCCGGAATCGGGCTCGGCCTGAATTCAGGCTGGCCTCCTTGCCGAATTCTGGGCCTGTCTTCATTGTGCTTGTAGAAACTATGGTTCATACGGAGGTACTCGGCTCGGAGGCTGGGTCTTGGTTGTCTGCCTCGAAATACTGAGAGAAGCCTGTACAGACCCCGCTTGACCTTGCTTCTTTGCAGACAATGCGCTGTCTTGTGGTGCAGGTCTCTGTCAGTCCTGCTGCAGCGATTGCTAGCAAAGCCAAAGATCCTTCTAAACACCTTCTACCTAAGCAAACCGCGGCATCCCACGCTAACCCAGGTCGGACGACACTTACTTCACAATAATTTCAAAACACGAGGGCCACCTGCACTTCTTCATCCGCGTCCAGACGGTGTGCTTTGCCCGAAAACGGCCTCAGCACAGCGCAGGCTGTGAACTCGGATGAATCTTTGAAGTGCACATCAACGGCCAGCGAAGAAGCGATGCGACGGAAACTTGACAAGGCTGCCCTCCCAGGAACCCTTTGGTTTCACGTCACGCAGTCAATGGCAGTTGTGATTCTGCATCCTGCTCTTGGCAGCATCGAACAAGCAGGGTTTCGAGCAAAATCTCTCTGTAACACAGCTCCCCAATGCTCCACGAACAGCAAGGTGCGCACGTGAAGGAGGAAGGGAGGCTGGAAGGCACCTGCTTTGGCCCCATTGCCTTAATATGCCCTTGGCATTTCAGATTTTACATGATCATCATCAAGCTACCGCGCATCTTCGAAATGTCCAGCCACGACTAAACATTGCATCGGCCTGCTCATCCAGGTGGGTTGACCGCTGTCCTGGTCTTGACGAGGAACCTGCATGTTGCATGTTGTTTCATGCAATAATAGGACGGTGGAGCTAGCCGAGACGATAGGACGCGTTGAGACGTCCCAAGCTCGGAGAAACTCCAGGTGTGGAGAAGCTTTTGGAAATCCCAACAGAACCGCTCCCTATCGCTCCCTGCTTTCAAAACGCATCAGCCCGTGCCAGAAGGCATCAAGCCCGGTGGCAGAAGGCCCGGAACTCGAAACAGTCGAGGCAAGAAGCGAATCCTTCTAGTGCTGAAGGGTTCGGACGGTTCGGATAAGGAAACGAAAGGTATGGGGCTGTCCTGAACTTCACTAGATTCACACCGGCTCTCGTCTTGTGCGTTCGTGGAGAATTCTCCAAGCTCTGCAAGGAACCTTTGGGAAGGATCTCTGAGGATGCGGCTACCACCAGCGATGCTACTGAAGAAGCTCCGGAGCATGTCTTGCAGCTCCTCCGACACTTCAAGAAACACAGGAGCTTACAGAACAGTACTGCAGAACAGTAAGGGTTCAGAGCCCCACGGCAGCTGAATGACATGTAGGTTATAGATCGCGCAAGTTTAAAGAGCGAGTGAGAGCAAAGACGCGCAGGACATTGGGGATCAAATCTCAAAACAGTCTTCGGAGAATTCGACATCTAGGCGTTAAGGAGCACGTGACCTATCGGTCCTCTAGCCTTTGTTGCGGAGAGCCTCGTCCCATCCCGAATTCCGAGAACTTCAACTGGTTGGGCCTTCCTAGGTCCTAGCCCTTGAACGCAAAGACCAAATCGGCGGTTCAGGGTGCAGGCAGCGCAGGGTTCAACCTTCACGGGCATAACTGCAAGAAAGCTTCCCCAGCCTCGCTGCTCTGCTCGGCAGTTTCAGGGCTGATGTCGTCAAAGAAGCCACTGTTCAAATGCTCCTCCGACAAGGACAGTCGCTTGTGGATCAGGATAGCATGGGCGCAACCTCAAGCAAGCAGTTCGAAATCTCTGCTCTGATGTATCTCGCATGCTGTCGCTCGGACTGGCTACTCATCAACCCGCGTGTCCGCATGACACGCATCTTCATGCGACTCAGTTCATAGAGGTCCAAGCTCTCCGTTCCGCCTTCCCATGAGAAGACGACCACAGTCTGAATTGAGCCGACGCCCGCCCGGCTCCCCTTTCAGAACCATACTTTGTAGAGTTATGTAGGGTGAGGGAGGAGTAGGTGTGGTTAGTGACTCAGGGCCAAACTTAGAGCGTTGCAGGTTTCAAGGGTGAGGAGGGTGAGGGACGTTCGGGCATAAATTTCGGAACCCTAGCTTGCAAGATCATCTTCTCTGGCTTTCGGTCCTGGCAGAATCGGGCCGCAGATGTCCCATCCTGGCGACAGCTCTCTGAAACCTTGGAGACGCTC